GCCGCGGGGGGGGCCCCCGCGGGCCCCGCCCCGGGCTGAGCAGCGCAGTCGCTCGGGTGGGACAATGAATGGGCTCCGCGGGACAGTACGCGTTAGCGCAGCGACCATTCACTGAAGACCCTAAAGCAGAGGGCAGGGCGAGGATGCGCGGCTGCTCGGCCTGCGTTAGCTCCTCCCCTGCAGCTCACTGTCCTCCTCCCCAAATATACCGAATCCCTGAATCCTGCTGGCCTTGGAGAGGAAGGTGACCTTGACGCTGCCTTCCCGTCGGCCTGCCCCCCTCCCCCCGCCTCCTATGCTTGGATTGCTGGGAGGGGGGCTAGCGGGCTGGGGGTCTGGAGGTGGGAGGGAACGGATGCGGAGGACACCGCGTGCGCCCGGGACGAGGGTTGCCATAGGAACCTCTGGGGAGGTGCCCCTGGGCGGCAGGGGGCGGGAGCTCGCTGGTGAGGGAGCAGGAAGAGGAGGGGGCTCCAGGGAGCAAGGGGCTTCCATTCTTTGAATAAAAAAAGAAGGAAACAAATAAATACTAATGTGACAATCTAAATTATGTTGAATGGGATTAGAATCTCAAAAGTATAGAACAGAAATTTAACAGGCAAATAAATGTAGCATATGATGTGCACATATAAATTTCTTGCTTCAGCATTTCCTTTTTCATTAAAATCCCAAATGATGCAAGAAGTTGAATCTTATAGCTCAAAATCACAAAAGTTAGTACAAGGAAGTCTGGTAAATGCTTTTAAAGTTTCCTTAATTACTAATTTTTCAATGCTACAAAATGCCTCTGTTTCTGCAAAATTACATGCTCACACTGTGGAACATCAGGTAAATACAAAATCGTGTTTCCCTCACATAAAAGACCATAATACTGACCAGATGGTGTATGCACAATTAAATTGATTTTTAATAACGGAGTCGGAGCGCGAGCGGAGCGAAAGCCGGTTGGTCGCGCCTGCGCCGCAGTCAGAGGTGGGGGTGATGCTGGGGTGGGAGCCCCCCCCGCCCCTCAAGGGCCGGCTCTGCAGGTTGCGGACCCTGCAGGATCACCAGCCCCTGCCCCCCTCCAGGGTTTCCTTCTCTGAGACCCCAGGTCCCGCGCGGAGACCCGACCCCATCCTGGACCACACCCCTCACTCAGTCCCCCAGACTCCTCACCGGCTCTCCAATCCCTCCTCCTGGCTGACCCCTCGCCCTCACCGAGCCTTCATCTCTTACTGCATCCGCAGTCCCTCTCCCGGGCTCTCCCCTCTGGAAGCCCACTCACCCAGTGGACAGACGCTCGCCTCCTTGAGTCTCTCTCTCTCTCTCTTCCCCCTCCGCCCCCACCCATCACATAGCCTCACCTCTCTCACTGGGTCCCTAAAGGAATTACCTTCCTCTTATATCAGGGCCCTTATCTTTCCCCTCTTTGAGCCCCTACTCCTGGCCGGGGATCAGCTTTCCCCCCTCTCCCTCCCCCCCACCTTGAGAAGGGAGTTGGGGTTGGGGAGGAGGTGTTAGAAGGGAAGGAGCCAATGAGGCAGCCTCCTTCGTTCTCTCCGAACCTACCCCTGGTTCTGCCCTGGGCGGTGTGTGCCTATAGCCCACCTCCCTGGAGAGCCAGCCTTTGCCAAGCAAAGGCGTGTTTATTTCATTCCTTGTTAAGTGGCTACAGCCTTGGTTTTGTCCCACATTTGCTGTGTGACCCTGGGAAGGTCACCACACCGCTCGGAGCTCCGTCAGGCACCACTGCACAAATGTCTCCACAACTTTTTATTTTTTTTAATATATTTTATTGATTTTTTACAGAGAGGAAGGGAGAGGGATAGAGAGTTAGAAACATCATGAGAGAGAAACATTGATCAGCTGCCTCCTGCACACCCTCTACTGGGGATGTGCCTGTGGGGAGCTGATAGAGGGTTAAGCTTCGGACTGATCTGTGGGCAAAGTCACAAACAATTCCCAGCTTAGAGGGCACAGTCCTCTTAGCATAATTAGGCTTGACCTTAGGAGGCTCCCTAGATCTTATCTGGGAAGCTAATGGGCTGAGGAAGTGCAGGAAGTATAACCATGGTGTAAACAAGTGAAACTCACAAGAACAGTGTAACTTTGGTAACCACTACCTTGTTTCTCTCTCACTATAAAATAAAGGCTCAGATTGCCTTGGGATCTTTTTCTGTGGCCTCAGCCAGGAGCTAGAGAGTTCTGAACGCTGTCTTCCGTGTAAAAACATTCTCCGCCGACTACGTCCACACCTTTGGGAACCCCTGGACCCCTGGGGCTGGCCGCCAGCATGTGCCCACAACCAAGGTACATGCCCTTGATCGGAATCGAAACTGGGACCCTTCAGTCTGCAGGCTGACGCTCTCTCCACTGAGCCAAACCGATTAGGGCTATCTCCACGTCTTAAGCGCCCATTCTGTCTCTCTCTATGCTATGGGCGCAGGGATGAATGGGCTCTGCACATCTTCTTCCTTCACTATTGTATCCTGAGCCTCACACAGTGCTTGGCATTGAGTAGGCAGCTCAATAAATATTTTCTGAACACAGACTAATAAGAATATCAAATATATACGATGGGGCAAAAGTAGATTTACAGTTGTTCATATTAAAAATAATAATAATTAATAATAACACAAGAATAAACCCTGTGATTTGTGTACTCACAACTATAAACCTGCTTTTGCCCCCTCCTGTATGATGCTCATTATGTGCAAAGGCTTGTCTAAGTGCTTCACGTGTATTACTTGCTCATTTAGCTCTGTGTGTGTGTGTGTGTGTGTGTGTGTGTGTCAGAGAGAGAGAGAGAGCGTGAGAGAGAAAGAGAGAGAGAGAGAGAAAAATATATTGTAAAAAATAATAAAGCAAACCTAAGCACTATGTATTGAAACATTGTGGGTATGGTTTTAGTACATGGAACTGGCTAGAGTCAAATGGGTGAGATGACTAAATTATTATTATTTATAGAGAGTAAAAGGAGGGGAGGGGGGGAGAGAGAGAGAGAAAAACATCAATGTGAGAGAGCCACATTGATTGGTGCCTCCCACCTGTGCCTCGACTGGGGCTCGAACCTGAAACCCAGATACGTACGTGCCCTTGACCAGGAATGGAACCTGTGACCCTTCGGTCCTCAGGCCGACACTCTAAACACTGAGCCACACTGGCCCAGGCTAAATTTTTGAGGGAATGCTTCTGCCATAGAAATCACAAGCCTAGGATAAAAAGCTCAGGGTTGTTTGAATCTCAAAACAATCCTAGCACTTACATCCATTAGCATGGCTACTATAAAAAAAATAAAAATGCAAAGCCAGCCCTGGCCAATTTGATTCAGTGAATAGAGCATCAGCCTGCAGACCAAAGGGTCCCAGGTTCAATTC